AAGTTTGATACTTGAACATGTAGTGTGAAGTTTGATACTTGAACGTGTATTGTGAAGTTTGATACTTGAACGTGTATTGTGAAGTTTGATACTTGAACGTGTATTGTGAAGTTTGATACTTGAACGTGTATTGTGAAGTTTGATACTTGAACGTGTATTGTGAAGTTTGATAGTTGAACGTGTTGTGTGAAGTTTGATACTTGAACGTGTAGTGTGAAGTTTGATAGTTGAACGTGTTGTGTGAAGTTTGATACTTGAACGTGTAGTGTGAAGTTTGATACTTGAACATGTAGTGTGAAGTTTGATACTTGAACGTGTAGTGTGAAGTTTGATAATTGAACGTGTAGTGTGACGTTTGATAGTTGAACGTGTAGTGTGAAGTTTGATACTTGAACGTGTTGTGTGAAGTTTGATACTTGAACGTGTAGTGTGAAGTTTGATAGTTGAACGTGTTGTGAGAAGTTTGATACTTGAACGTGTAGTGTGAAGTTTGATAGTTGAACGTGTAGTGTGAAGTTTGATACTTGAACGTGTAGTGAGAAGATTGATACTTGAACGTGTAGTGAGAAGATTGATACTTGAACGTGTTGTGTGAATTTCAATATAGCCTGTATTGTCTAGATGGATATGTTTTTATGCAATTAAATTACCTTCGTATGCCTTATTGAATAATACTTAAGCTTTTTTAAATTTATGTTAACCTTCCCGTAACGCATCTATCAATATCGTTATGCTAATATTTCTTAATTGACAAAAGACGCAATGCTCGTTCTTTAATTACATGAAACTTTAATTGTTTGGGTGCTACAAATAATATTAGACACAGGTAAAAAAAGAACGGAATTGTATGCGAAGTAAAAATAACAAAGCGACTAGCGGTGAAAATTTTGCGTATTAACTTGTCCATTTACATTGACACGGTTTTTGTTTTCGGAGTGGTCTCCCTTTGTAGAACACAAAATGGTGTCTTTTGAGGAGAGTCGCGGCTGGCTGGTAGTAATGGCAGTGTATTGGGTCATTGACACGCTTGGCGTCCTCGTAGCGGTGTTGTGTGAATTTCAATATAGCCTGTATTGTCTAGATGGATATGTTTTTATGCAATTCTCGTGTTTTTGGGGAATAACATGTTACAATATAGATATATACAGATAGCGATTACTTCGAATAGAAATGAATTCGCTTGAATGTACCTTATATTTCGGTAGAGAAAGTTAAAGTATATACGATTAAGTTTGATTCGTACCGTACAGAGTAACAACATCGATAAAAATGGTTTTATTATCATGAGCATGGAATTAATTACTTAAGATCTGTTGCAAATTTTATGTAATGTGTTTTGTTATGACAGTTTCTGAGTGAAAGCTGTGATGGGCATAATTGTGCCACGAACGATAGATGTTTCCCGAATTCGGACGAGGGATACCTATGTTTGACTTACCTCAAAAGTGAGTATTCTTTGAAATCTTAAGATAAAACCGATTAGAAATAAACATCCAATATTTCTTGGATGAATACAACTAGTGCCATTGTACTATTTTTCATTTTTATATCATTTCAAACACTATTGAAGTTGTCCCTGGTTGAGGAAAGTCAAATCAACATCTACTTTTGTGTCTTAAATCGTGACTATTTGCAAGCATATCTTTTAGCGTTATACGTCGTTGATATGACAATTGTGCACATGCAGTGAAAGTTAGTTGTTGCGATTCACAATGGCTGTTTGGCATTTAGGTGAATGGAAATGTCATAAATGGACGTCAGTTGAAGAGGCAATTTTTGATGAGGTAGACAGTTCACATCCGGTCCAGATGCGTGTTTGTGAAGCAGTGGATTATCGTGTTTTCTACGCTGAAAGTCCACTGAAACCCCAGGGATGTGGTACATGCTACTGCTGTAAGCTTGTCTTCAGCATTGTCTATAACTAGTCTTAAACCAAGACAGTCTTACACCGATATCATGCATTTTTTTTCTAATCCTACACCAGAGTGACACATTAATAAAATCTGTTAGCTGAAACTGAGCTAGATTGGGCTCTCAGTCGAGGGCTTAGATCCTGAAACATAATCCCAACCGAGGCGTTAGCAAGAGGCCCCGATCTCGCTCAGTTACAGGTAATAGATATTTTTCTCGCGCCTACTACTATTCTGAAGAGACTGAGATACCCCGATCTCGCTCAGTTACAGGTAATAGATATTTTTCTCGCGCCTACTACTATTCTGAAGAGACTGAGGTACCCCGACCTCGCTCAGTTACAGGTAATAGATATTTTTCTCGCGCCTACTACTATTCTGAAGAGACTGAGATATCCCGATCTCGCTCAGTTACAGGTAATAGATATTTTTCTCGCGCCTACTACTATTCTGAAGAGACTGAGGTACCCCGATCTCGCTCAGTTACAGGTAATAGATATTTTTCTCGCGCCTACTACTATTCTGAAGAGACTGAGGTACCCCGATCTCGCTCAGTTACAGGTAATAGATACTATTCTGAAGAGACTGAGATACCCCGATCTCGCTCAGTTACAGGTAATAGATATTTTTCTCGCGCCTACTACTATTCTGAAGAGACTGAGATACCCCGATCTCGCTCAGTTACAGGTAATAAATATTTTTCTCGCGCCTACGACTATTCTGAAGAGACTGAGATACCCCGATCTCGCTCAGTTACAGGTAATAGATATTTTTCTCGCGCCTACTACTATTCTGAAGAGACTGAGATACCCCGATCTCGCTCAGTTACAGGTAATAGATATTTTTCTCGCGCCTACTACTATTCTGAAATTATTCAATATTACATCAGTTTTGCGTATCCCGTGGGAGCCTCAAACTACCCACACAGCCTCTTCACTTTTAAACGTTTGGATAGTGCCGCGTAAACAATGGAGGCCGCACTCACAAAAAAATCAACACACTTTATAGTGGAGATCTTATTTTATCAATAACATCTAAATTAAATAGAATATCGTTGAAATTTTAACAACGATATAACCTATGTTTTGTTGAAATGCACGGGTGAAGGTGCGAACTACGCCTACACGGGGATGAATACACTTTTGCGTAAAAATTCCGTAAAAACGCACGTAAGGGTACTATGATGATCGGGCGAGACAGGAAAAATCTAGGATGGCGTATAACGTAAAATATCCCTGTCACAGGTGCGAGAAAAACTTTTCCTTGAATAAGTTAAGACTTCATATCCGCACGTAAATATCAACTTATGTAACTAAATAAGACATTTGAAAAGTTATTACAAGTGTTTCAACTAAGTAAGTCACATGGACTGAACTTGTATTTTTCCTTTGCAATTCAATGCAAGTCAGTGAAATGTAGCTATTTACATTGGCGGGTAGTTGTCACGACGTTAGTGTGCTTGTTCCAGTGATCAAGCAACTGGACGCGACGTCATGCGCACTTCCGATTTCTGGTCTGTATTTGATTAATGTTTCAAACTTAGTCTGTTCAGTATCTGTGGTACAAAGTTTGATGTCTTCCTACAATGTTTAAATACATTTTTTGCAAAATTGAAATAAAGAGAAATATCTCATTTATAAGGTTTATGGAAAGGCAACACTTTTGCAGACTGACGCCAATGAAAAGAGAGATCACCAATCATCGGATAAAATTGACCAATCATAAAGCCAAGTACAAAAAACACAAAACCAGAAACCTGATGCATGGGTTGTTTACTTGTGACACAACCTTCAATTTCATGTTAAACGTTAGACATTTCATGGGGATTCGTGTCGTCAACAGCGACAACTGTAGGTTGCCACAATATGTTCAGCCGTGTATTAGCTTGTCACAGGTTAAAGTCTGTTATTGACATGAATAAGTAATATTTTATGTGAAAATGAATTGAAATATCCATTGAAATTTTGTTTTTGTATTTATGTATTTTAATTACTTTCTTTTATAAAAATGAACTATGGTTTATCGTGTACTGCAAAGATATAATGAGTGAGTTGTGTCCACGAAAAGTCTAGTCAGCTTCTTCGTTTAAATTTGTTCTAACAATGCAGTTTTTTTTGGCTATTTTACTTGTGAAAATGATATCATAGCGTCTTCAGTAATAACAATTATATTTCACTCGTGTAAAATTATTAGATATTAGATATTCTCTCTATATATCGGTTGTCTATGTTATGTTCAATGTTTAAAGTTGATCAAATAGTAATAACAAGTATATTTTACAAATGTGCCTAATATCGTATATTCGTGCTGCGCACTCGTGAAAGAGTGAAATAAAATAGACATACGATTTCACATCATCTATTTTATTCGTATGATTTCAAGATACCATTTTTGGAAGTCATAAATATAGCACACAAAACAATCAACCAAACCCAAATAGAATGTTAGTAGCTATATAGGCGTCGGAGAGTCCACGCGCCTGTTGTGTTGGAGCCAGTGTAGCTTTGGAAACATCACCTACAAGCCATATATCTTCTGTCATCAGAACCTTCTACACTGACAATGATTACAATCCAGAAATTTTTAATGTTTTGTTAATATACTGAACAACATCAATACCTGTTTTCGTGTCACAATGCTGCAATTTAAAAAAATATTATTCTCTTGTCACCCTTGGTGATTTATATGGGAAATCAGTTTTTTTTTCTCTGTAATGAAATTTCCTAATGACGTTGTGCTTGAATATACCCGGCCGCAGAGAGGAGAGTTAGTAAACTGTTGTCACACTACAACTACATGGTTTCCGTAACGCTTGCGATAATGAATAAATATTGTATAAGCATTGGCTGTCTATTAAATTACATTCGTATGCCTTATTGAATAATACTAAAGTTTATGAATTTACATTAACCTTCCCGTAACGCATCTATCAATATTGTTATGCTAATATTTCTAAATTGACAAAAGACGCAATGCTCGTTCTTTAATTACATGAAACTTTAATTGTTTGGATGCTACAAATAATTTTATAATTTTAGACACAGGTAAAAAAAAGAACGGAATTGTATGCGAAGTAAAAAGAAAAAGCGACTAGCGGTGAAAATTTTGCGTATGAACTTGTCCATTTACATTGACACGCTTTTTGTTTTCGGAGTGGTCTCCCTTTGTAGAATACAAAATGGTGTCTTTTGAGGAGGAGAGTCGCGGCTGGCTGGTAGTAATGGCAGTGTATTGGGTCATTGACACGCTTGGCGTCCTCGTCGCGGTGTTGTTTCGGATGTAAAATTCACGTATACAGCTACGACAACGGGACCGCAGACAGGAATGGACCTGAATATAGATTAACACTGTTCTTAATTAAAAGCAATTATAATGTACACAATTGTCGGCACCTGTCAGTTTCCATCCCTTGTGCTTTCCGAATTATGCTGTGCACAGGTTGGTATGGAGTGCTTGACATCCCCACAATAAAACAATATTCATCAGAACCCTAGCTCTGTCAGCAAAATTGTACAAGATACACCATTGAATAGCATCTTTTCATTAATATATGCCTTTTATTTCACAACTGAGCATTGATAGATACAAATGACTTTTATTGGACAACTGACAAGTCTACTGATTGAACTAGGGTTTCGGGGTGATATTTTCATTTGGTACCAGAGGCTTCTACGCAAGTTTGCCACACGTAAACTTTAAGTATATGTGTTCCCAGTATATGCACAATATATCATAGGGGAAAAATTGGTACGAAACAGACCGGTGCTGACAACTGTGCGTGTTATACTAGAATAAAGAGGAAAGGAACATTTTCAATACATTTTATACGTAAACATCACATAAGAATATTACTAGCTTGATAAACAATTATGTGTAATTTTTTTGTCGGAATGAGACAAAAATATTACTTCTAACCATACAAAGACAAGCCGTAAAAACAAAAGAGATACCTACAAACACGGAAATGCTCTCTACAGCAAAACTGACAAGCACAACACGTAGAATCAAGACTGATCCCTAGAAGGATATTGTCAGTATTAACATATAAATAACTTAAGAACTTCTAACAAACGTTTTCAGCTACAACGACAAAATATAGGATGAAAAAGACTTTAAAAAGTCAAAAACAACACACCCATCATAATTCTATAAACTTTACCGAAGATAAATCAATCTATGTTGCATAAAATGATTTTTGTGTTACATTGGATCAATTTAATTTTACATGTGTTTTATGTTTGTTTTGCATCGTTGTGTCTCTAATAACCACACTTAAATAAATTCGTATTTGCCGCCATTATTTTATCAATAAATCGTGAACCATCATCAAAATCATATTTTTAAAAATCTAGATGTTACGTTATCAAAACAAAGGAAAAAACTGCAGATATGTTCTCATGGTGATTATTCTTACATCAACCCTGCATTTATGTATTTATTTTGTATATATAGTTTTTCTAGCTGTTCTTCTGTATGTTTTGTTACGTGTTTTGCAGACGCCGTCTTTTGGGCATTTTCGTCATTTAAATAAATGACAATTATCGGAAACAATGGTTGTTATTTCGTCATAATCACGGCAAGTCAATTGTGGAGCTTTCGGTTTTTTGTGGACAGTATATAAATTGTTACAGGTATAGTCCTGAAAATAGCAAATAAACCATCCCTACTAATATTTACCACTGACAGTAACCCTACTAAACCTATCCAGCCTATCACTTCTTCGTATCTAGCTCAGGTACCCTACCAAAATTAGTGTTAACATTTACAAAACCATACGAAAAAACAACGATGAACTGAAAACACCAGTAATCACCATTAGATGGTTCTTAACATTGTGAAAATGGACTGAACAAAACCATAATTTACGACATGAGTCACAAAAAAAATAGAACAAACAACCCCAATATATGTAGAATTACAATTACAAATCACTTGGAAAATTTAGTATCGATTCCAAATGAAACATAATATGAACTATAAAGAAAGCATGCATTCATCTGCATGTTACTGCCGAAAGTTATTATAATGAGCAGCTTCCAGTAAAACATGTCGTTATTTCATGAAAATGAAAAATTGCGTGAAAATCAATTTCAAACTATGAATCGAGAACATATCTGTCAAATATGATTTTTTTTAAGTTAACTCGATTCTTCAATTAAATTATATCTCTCCTACCAGGTATGTTAAACTGATAAATGTAGTAATAATGAAACATAGTGGAACTTACCTCTCCACTGCCGTAGCAGTAAATCAGTGTAATTATAGCACCCTGGCAAATATAATATGAATAAATACAATATATTATCAAAGTTTTATACATGTTAAGTTGCTACTGTATGTCTAGTGATGTGTGTTAGTAGACCAGTCAGCATAGCTTCAACAGACATGTACAAAGACGTAGATTGTATAGGAAAACATATTAGAAGTCAAGGCACACTTAATATATACATACACATTTATGATACAGATATATTGATGTTGTACATTGCAATTATTTGCTTTATGTTTGCCATTGTACCATTGAAATTATGTGTTATAAATATGCGATGAAAGTGGGAGCGAAAAGTAACAGAAGTCGGGTGGTTGAAACTCAATCGAGTACACCCTAATAAATTCTGCCACAACCGACAAGCCAATTGGCTCACCGGATCTAGGTCACGTGAAAAAAAAATCTAACGAGGTGGAAACTTGCTGATGGAATTAGTTTGGCCTACCATTCCACCCTTTAGGTAATGGCACATTTCCTTACTAGTTATCTTATGCTGAATCTTTTTGACTATATTAAAAGTATAATATTGTTTATGTTGTAAATATGTTTGTACAACATGGTCGACATTGCTGTTACCACGGTTGCCATGTTATTCGTCGTTTAATAAAATGACATCACTGGATATATTTCTGTGTTTCTTGTTATAGATATATAATATACCCCAAAAACATAGCTCAAGTCGTGACTCAATTATCGGGATGGAAATTATAACATAAATTTGTTATAGGTGAAGATGAAGTAAGCGGTTGACGGCAGCTTATCTAGAGACCGTAGACATGTTCTGTCTAACATGTCAGGACGGATATCATTACTTCATTTCTTCATCATGCTGTTTAGCTAGCTATTTAATTATCGATAAATATTTTTACAAGATACAGCTCACAAGTCACTGATGGAAGTATACATTATACATGTACTTGAACATTGTAGTTTGTTGATAACACCATCTACCATGGATCATTTATTTCCATAACGGGAATAGAAATCACAAGAAGATGTCCAAATTCGTTTCACTCTCATTAACATATTGTTTATTATCGTTTGATAATTTTTTTTAAAAAAGTATATACTTTTAAGGAATTTGCATTTATGTAAATTCAAACAGTCGAGAATGCCGGATACTACTGCACACCCATGTTATTTTCATTTTGATAATTGGGAATTACTATAAGGACAAAAAAACAAGAAAAAAACACCAACATATCAACATAATGATAATCCAAAACCAAATTCCATATAACTAGGGAAAAAATTGATCAAAAGAAAGATCTGCATGGAGAATCTTTCAAAATGTAAAAGGAAAATAAGACCAGGTGTTTCGGAAGTGTAAGCGTTTTAATATTACACGTTATGTACATAACCCTGTCACAGCCACCTACCTGAGAATCTGTGATGATTTTTGAGATTATTTCGTAGAAAAAGCGATGAGAAGTTGATCCATGTGGACGATAAATGATAACAAATATCTGAATCCCGAACAGTGGTACCAGTACAAATGTAGCCTTAATAGCACGTCTGTAAGAATAAGGATGTCAATCACCGACTATTAGAATTATTACAAAATGACAAATGTAGCCTTGAGAGCTTTAAGTATGTTTATAATAGAGTATTATTACATGACATGCATATACACGAAAAGGGTATTGTTACTTGTCATACCTGTACACGACAGTGTATTGTTACCTGTCATACCTGTACACGACAGTGTATTGTTACCTGTCATACCTGTACACGACAGTGTATTGTTACCTGTCATACCTGTACACGACAGTGTATTGTTACCTGTCATACCTGTAACGACAGTGTATTGTTACCTGTCATACCTGTACACGACAGTGTATTGTTACCTGTCATACCTGTACACGACAGTGTATTGTTACCTGTCATACCTGTACACGACAGTGTATTGTTACCTGTCATACCTGTACACGACAGTGTACTGTTACTGTACACGACAGTATACTGTTACTTGTCATACCTGTACACGACAGTATGTTGTTACCTGTCATACCTGTACACGACAGTGTATTGTTACCTGTCATACCTGTACACGACAGTGTATTGTTACCTGTCACACCTGTACACGACAGTGTATTGTTAATTGTCATACCTGTACACGACAGTGTATTGTTACTTGTCATACCTGTACACGACAGTGTATTGTTACATGTCATACTTGTACACGACAGTGTATTGTTACCTGTCATACCTGTACACGACAGTGTATTGTTACCTGTCATACCTGTACACGACAGTGTATTGTTACTTGTCATTGTTATCCTGTTACTGTCATACCTGTACACATACCTGACACGTATTGTTACCTGTCATACCTGTACACGACAGTGTAATTGTTACCTGTCATACCTGTACATGACAGTGCATTGTTACCTGTCATACCTGTACACGACAGTGTATTGTTACCTGTCATACCTGTACACGACAGTGCATTGTTTCCTGTCATACCTGTACATGACAGTGTATTGTTAATTATCTTACCTGTACACGATAGTGTGTTGTTACCTGTCATACCTGTACACGACAGTGTATTGTTACCTGTCATACCTGTACACGACAGTGTATTGTTACCTGTCATACCTGTACACGACAGTGTATTGTTACCTGTCATACCTGTACACGACAGTGTATTGTTACCTGTCATACCTGTACACGACAGTGTATTGTTACCTGTCATACCTGTACACGACAGTGTGTTGTTACTTGTTATACTCGTCCACAACATTGTGCTGTTCTATTACCTGTACACAACATTGCACTGTTCTATTACCTGTACACAACATTGTACTGTTCCCTCACCTGTCTACAACATTGTACTGTTCCATCACCTGTCTACAATATTGTACTGTTCCATCACCTGTCTACAACATTGTACTGTTCTATTACCTGTACACAACATTGTACTGTTCTATTACCTGTACACAACATTGTACTGTTCCATCACCTGTCTACAACATTGTACTGTTCCATCACCTGTCTACAATATTGTACTGTTCCATCACCTGTCTACAACATTGTACCTGTTCTATTACCTGTCTACAACATTGTACTGTTCTATTACCTGTACACAGCATTGTACTGTTCCATTACCTGTACACAACATTGTACTGTTCCATCACCTGTCTACAGCATTGTACTGTTCCATCACCTGTCAACAACATTGTACTGTTTCATTACCTGTCAACAACATTGTATTTTTAAATAACTTATACAATATATTACCTGTAACCGCTAGGTTCGTTCGGATGTGTTTGAAGCTGTGACACCATGATTCGTAGAATGCTACAGAGAAACATACAGTTCGCCTGAAATTGAAACACCCATATATAACATTAAGTAACCCATTAGGAGTAGGTATTAATTATTTCTGTGTTTCGTACATTACTTTTTATCGTCCCGTTTCGTTTACAGTAGACTATTTTGAGACTAGTTAAGAGGTTTCGATAATTGTATATTCACACGTGATTTATCCATTATGAAGTTTTGATGTTTAACAATAATGAGTGACCTACTAAAATGCAGAAGATGTTCGGCGAATAAATTATCCATTCATACGCGTCCATATTCTTGATCCAACAGCTGTCAAAACAAAAACAACAACAATATTTAACATTTAAATTGAAAAGTTGAATCTTTTATTTCAAACAAGTCATTAACCAAAATTCAAGTGCATATATAACGCTCAGGTGGAGACAAGGAATTATATGACAGTGTAAATTCACCCTAAAATACGTCAGATTACCAGTCACGGCACGAAACATCTCCGTGACGTTTACATCACAAATAGCACAATATTACACTCATTGAACCTTCAAATATATTAGACTATCGATAAAAGCACGAAACATCTCCGTGACGTTTACATCACAAATAGTACAATATTTCATTCATTGAATCTTCAAATATATTAGACTATCGATAAAAGCACGAAACATCTCCGTGACGTTTACATCACAAATAGCACAATATTACACTCATTGAATCTTCAAATATATTAGACTATCGATAAAAGCACGAAACATCTCCGTGACGTTTACATCACAAATAGTACAATATTACATTCATTGAACCTCTCCTTTAAATATAATAGACTATCGATAGAAGCACGAAACATCTCCGTGACGTTTACATTACAAATAGTACAATATTACATTCATTGAACCTCTCCTTTAAATATGTTAGACTATCGATAAAAGCATGAAACATCTCCGTGATGTTTACACCACAGACAGTACAACAGTTAATTGATTGGACTTCACCCAGACTGTCAGTAGTAACACGGTAAATTGTCCTGTGTTTATATTTCAATAGTATAACATTAAATTTATTGAACGAATATATGTGTAATTAGATATACTTTGTATTAAATTGTTTTCATTATTTTAACAAGGATGCGAGATGCCTGCTTCACAGGTCATTCATTTTTTATCATCACCATTTGACTCTTCAACAAACGAGAACAATGTAAGAATTATCTCCCTTCTTACACCAAAAGTAAATAGATAAAACACTTCTATGTTGACAAGCACGGAAGACGATTACCGCACATTAATTATTTTATGTCCGACATAACTAAGTCATAAGATAACTAGGTCATAACTACAAAATGAGTAAGTCGTAATTACGACAGAAAATTACATTTGGTGTGGCGCTAACCAGTTTCTATAATACCAGAAGAGAACAATGTGAGAATTGTCTCCCTTCTTACACCAAAGAAATAGGTGAAAACCTCAGTGTTGGCTTACATTTCGAAAGGTAACCTTTTCTGAAACTGACGTTTTCTAAAATAAATAACATATGTATTTGAATATAAAAAATATTGGACTTGCTTTCCCTTTTTTAACTATTATTCTTTGGTAGAAAACATTGCGAGACTAATTCTGATCGTCTGTGTTTAAATGGACTTCATATTGAAAAGGCATGGGTGTTGCTTTCTAAAATTGTTAAAATAGTTCATCATTGTTCCATTCTATGATGTACTGTCATTTTACAAACCCGTGATTAGCGATTCCAGCTTTAATGACAGCATATATCGAGACTGGTACAAACGGAAGACCTACAATAAAACAAATGGTTAATTCAAATTACTTTGTAAATCTTGTAGAACAACACTGATATTTAAATTACGGATTTGTATAATTCTAATAATTCATTTTAACTATCTAAAAAAAACCTTCAAACAACATATCTAAGGTAAACAAAATACTCTTTCTTGCATTTCCATTCTCTTCACAAAGAAATTAAGTTTGAAAAAATATTTTTTTGATTCTACATGCCCCTATGCCCCATATATGACGTTTCCTTTCCCACCACTTCTCAACTTCAGGGCATGATTTAGATTTCCGACAGAAGTTTTCACAGTCTTCGCTTGACTTCGGTTCGATAATGCAACGCACTCAGTAATGATATATGTGTAATGAAAAGCGCCATCAGTATTGATATATACATGTTTTACATTAAACAGTTGAATCCTGTGAATTAATGTTAAGTCACAAAGCGGTAACGCATGGTGTTTTTTTGTTACTACAGAACACCATTTTATGTGTGACGGTAAGAGGGTGTATGTGTGTGTGAGTGAGGGTGTGTATGAGTGAGGGTGTGTGTGTGTGTGTGTGTGTTTGTGTGTGTTTGTGTGTGTATTTTTATCATCATATTTTTTTTAATTTTTTTTTGTATGGTTATGGAGCCTTTTTCTTGAATTTCATGTTCAAGTTTTTTCCGTCATACGAAAATTTCTCGGCGGAAACAATTGCACAAAGATCGCAAAACTGAAAATCACTTCAACACAAATTTCGAATTAGATAGATTGTAGGTAACTAATGAACTTATCTACATCATACAGTTGATTCGTCCTTCCGGGACTCTTTAGTGGTAACGGGGCTTAAATTGTTGGAACTTAAACGACTGAAAAAAGTCCAAAGAGAGCGAAACAAATGTTAAAACAGGATAAGAAGGTTCACTAATCCGAAGAATTCAATAAAGATTATACTGTTGCAATATTGAATGATTTTGAAAGAACGACAACTACATGTGCATATTCTGAACCGTGTCTCTGATTTGATCTATTGATCGTCAGATTAACACACTTCTGAGTTGGTTCATTATTCTGACAGGATTCTACACAATTTACCGTCGATGATTACTGTAGTAGGATTAAATGTGATATTCTTGGTAATCTTTCTTAGTAGAAAATGGTCACATATTTGACGAACGTAGTGGACATGATAAAAAAAAACGTTTGTTATCAAAATGTATTTATGGCTTTCTGTGTTACAAAACAACGACAAAATACAGATATATGTAAACAGAATCATAATCAAAACTCATATTCAAGAAAACAAGACAGAATGTGAACGAAAGAAATGTATACGCTGACTCCTGACAAAGTACAAGGTCAATAAGACCAGATGCTCTGTGAGAGTAAGCGTCTTCTGTTTCAATACCGACACCTGCCATGTAAATCTTGGCCATTTCAAGTAAGACATGTCACGTTCCCAAACGAGAAAACAGTAAACAACGGAACCACTATGTATGCTAACGAGCATCAAACAGGTTAAATATTTCCTAATGAGATCACTGCGATAACGGTAAAACTTCCCTGCCATTTCCATTAACCTACATCTCTCGAACTACATGTTAGACGTGCCTTATAGGGTAAAATATCTCTTAAAATCGACAGAAGCATCATTCCTTTCTAATTAAATTTGCACTGGTTTTCCGATATATTTTAATTGACGTGAACATACGTGTAATGAATTTAAAGCGCTTGTACCACATACAACACTTTGTGACACAACTAAATCACGACAAACACGGTAATTGTCTGAAGCACTCGGCATGATGCAAGTCATTAGGTTCTTTATGCACGTGCTTCATACAGCAAAACGGTAAACAACGACAGATATATAGATTAAAAGAAACCCTACTCCATCCTACAGCAACCATAGTAAAGAGGCGATTGCATCCTTTGGCTCTCGTTTTTATTTAGTAAGTCTTCATATGGAGTTAATTAAAATCCACATTTCATTTACAACAGGTTAATAATTAGACGTACATCCATAGAAATAGTCTGATGAAACCAATCGAAATGATTTTCGAGATTATCTATTGGTGTCTTTGGGTGCTGTCAAAACACAAAGTTCACAATCATATGCTGTATATATCAAGAACAGGCGGTAGGTGCTTGTTTTATGAACATTGCGGCGAAGTTTTATAGTTGTCATGATGATTCTATTTTGAAAGATTATAACATTATACATACAATGGGTACATACAATGTACACTGTTTGAACATGTTTGATGATGGCTAGTTTGCCTGCTGGTTATGTTGCAGTGTAACTGTTCATATTTGAGAACGTGGCATTACGTAATTAGATTGACCAAATATTCATGGCAGGTGTCGTCGAGTGAAGCAGAAGACGCTAACAATTCCGGAACACCTGCTCTTGTTCTCCTTGTACATTTCAAGGAATGTCCTTGTAATTTTCTCTTCCATTCCTATTTTGCCTTAGCTTGCTTGATATAGGTTTTGGATCATGATGATGTTGGCATATTGTTTTTAAATTTATTTCAGTAACATTTGAAACAACAAAGTATTGTGTATTTTGATATGATATTAAATTATGTACATATCAAACACTATTTTACAATGTAGTTACATGTACTTTACGTTTAAATTAACATTGAAGTTATAAAACCGAAATTGTATATTTAATGCAATGGTATCATGTCATTTTATGATATAAAATTACACGTGATTGATGTTCGTTTATATGCCTGATGGTTCCTTTAGTATCAACTTGACTCATTTGAGAGAAAGTGATGTGCTTATAATTGGACTGAATATTCACAAGGCGGATGCAAAAGTCGCCTAACCTCTTTGAACACACGATTTTCCATTTCTATGTAAATCGGATTTTTTTTTTTTCAAATTTTGCCGCCGCTTCGTCGATTTTATCTTTGAACTTAAATTTGGTCTACGTCTCGATATTCTATTGCTGTCTTTGTTCCGTCGTTACATATATGACCGAAAGCAAAATTTCAGCCTCTAAAAGAAAATCATAGGAAAGAATATTGTACAAAAGATGTCTTTGTTATTAGCTTCATTATATACCTTTCGATTGAGTATAAGATACAGCAGAGTCGCACAATATTGATCAAGGTATTTTAAATAATCTAAATATTCAAAACGACAAGCTAAACTATCAACTGTAACAGGGAATTCGATAAAGCAGTTTCTGAAGCATTGTAAACTAGATATCGGCCAATGTTTGTTTGTCTGCTCGTTGTAAAAAATATTGAACAACCTTCCAAAACAAGAAATCCCATTGCCAACAATAAATTAGTTACAAAATAGACCCGATAAACATTGGGGAGACCTTGAAATTTTATATCATTTATAAGTCTGAAATTCAATAGAAGTTAGAACTCACATTTTATTTTTAGTTTTTATGTTATAATTGTATCTTTGTAATCCCGAACTGGTGATAAATTAACTTAGCATGAAGCAAACTGCATAATAAAGGGCCATTCAGTGATGTAACGGGCATTGTAATACATACCCCATCCTAGAAGGTAGTACCATAGAAGAAACCTTGGAACTCTGAAGGCGTGTACTATAAGTCTATGCAGGTAAAGACCCTCGCAGAACATCCAGAAGTAGTTGGTGGAAACTGAGTATCTCTTCAGGAAGTAAAGCAAACGGCAGCCAAACTAGGGGAGAAGAAACACAAAAGCTTAGTTGTAAGAACAACTGACAAAATAACGAAACAGATATCAAAAGAATGTATAAAACACAATAAAGAGTTTCTATCAAGTCATTTTTAGAATTGGATAAAGCATCGTCCAACTATGAATTAAACTGCATCACGAAATGAAAGGAAACAACAGTGAAAAATCCAAATAGGTCGAAAAAAAAAATATATAAAATTATATGACATTTGAAACGGAAAATACTTGGAGTGTTCTGTATGATTTTTTTCCTGAATGTTCTTGACAATATGATATTTACGGCAAAATAATGTAACGCATTACATTTTGCCTATGATGCTTTGCAATCCATTTTTATCAAATTCTAGATTTGCTTTGAAAGATGTTAATCACTGGTAAGTCTTTTGCACAATCATCTCGCATATTAAGATATGTCTTAAACAAGCTTACCGAGTTGCGATGCATGGTAGTATGATGACGTGGGTTACTGAGGAGATCGCTATACACAAACAGGTCCCAAAACAGCGTGAACACAGAGGTCAGCATGAAGGACAGGAACAGACACAAGTGGAGGCGAATACGCTGTTGTGACCTCAATTGCCTGTTATTAACAAGAAACCTTGACGAGCAAAGGTCGGTGCCTAATACTAGCAAGTTTACCTACAGATATATTCCTTCAGTATAACTGATGGCTTGATCAAGTATTAACTGTTTTCAGTTGAAATTCATGAACATATGAAGGACAGCAGGAAAAGGAAAAAGCCGTATGACAGATCATGAGCTGGAAATAAACAACTGACTTTGGTAAGGCTACATTGTTAAGCCGTAGCGTTCTAAGTGTAAAATTTTGTGATCTATGGTGTAACGATATATTGTCTTTTTAAAAAGATTGTCGCATTTCGTACTCATTCATTTCTATAAAATGCCATTCGACTGCACATGAATTTGGATACGGATGACACTTGTATTGTTCATATTGATACCTTTTATACATCTCAATAATACGTTGGGTTAACATTAACATGCCTTAATCACCAGATAACACATGATAAAACAATGATTCGCAATAATTTAATTGGTATATCTATCTGTGGGTAGTAGGATTGCTCAGTAGTTCCTAAGTGCATTTCATCAAGGTGGTCGGAATTAGGTCATCCTATCGGATATAAGGATAAGAGGCCATCTGCCAAATCATGTGGGTGTTCTCTCGATACCCCGGTATCCTCTAACAGTAGTTGATACTGAGATTTAGCATGTATAGAACATTCACAATTGCCAAAGACAATGAAATCCATCCAATTATATGTAAAAATAAAGCCACATATTGTTTCAACATTATTTCAATTTAATGTTTATTTTCATTAGGAATAGTTATCAAAAGATCGATACTTAAATCAATAAACTCCTATAAAATGGGCTGCTGCTGACTTCAATAGGTCGTGCAAAAACCATTATCTGATTACGATTATCAATGTGAAACTAAATTCTATTTAAATCGATTTTATATCAATTGCATTTTCAAATTAAATCAGTAGAAATGTTTCCAATCACGTCAGAACATCAGGTGATGGATTGATTTGAAATTCAAAGTTGGGTGAGTAGCAACGCCTGAAAGCCTGCCTGCACATATTTGCTCTCAGTGGATAACATGCGGCGAATCGATTCAATCTTTTGATATTGGAAGATCTCGATAGCTTCGAAAACAATTAATTTTCTATAATTACAGTACCCTTGACATCTCAACACTCTCCACTCTTAATCATAATACAAATCAAATCAAATGCCATGTAAAGAACACTACCATTTTAAATTGAAAATGGAAACGTGAGCGACAATGCAAAAAGCATTTGTACTTCACATACGTCTTGCCTTCAATTGTTAAGGTATATATCGACACCAAAAGTACCGGAGTTCGTTCCTTTTTTTTTTTTTATTTTTTTTTTTTTTGTATTGATAATGTCGAGTGTTTCTTTTCTATCTTTACCTCAGCACGATTACTTACTTGATCGAAAGGAAAATGGTGATTGCAGGAACAAGCAGGGCGATACTTAGGGAACAACATGTTATACCGATATACACCACGGACTTGTACACCTATAACCAAGCAAAACAAACGGAAAATAACATGTCAACATAATCATAATTCAAATTTCCATTTAACAAAAATAGGGCAAAATATCAAAATGTTACATTTACATGTCTACAAACATGCAATAATAATTACACCAGGTGTTCCGGAAGATTAAGCGTCTTCTGCTTCTTCGACGACACCCGCTATGTAAACCTTGGTCAATCCAAGTAAGTACTGTCACCCTCTCAAATGAGAACATGGTATACAGCTTTATGTACCACAAAATAGAGTATTTCTCGATAAGATAACTATAACGACCGTAAAAGTTCCCCATACTTTTTTTAGCAACCTGCGTCTTTTGAAAGCCTGCGTTACGAGTTTGTCCGTCAGTTGACAAAAGTCGTGATTAGGGAAATGTCCCTTGAATATCGAATCAACTGCGACATATAAATATTGGTGTCCAGAAATCGAAAATCAACGACAGAGAAATTGACATCACTACGTTTTTTTTTCATACAACTCATTGTAGAAAAATATCTGGATAATATGTTTACATTACAGATTACATTTTCAACGTTTTGTACTATTTTAATTGATACAAGGTGTACATTAAGGACTTAAATACTAATGCGGATCGCGTCCCTAGATTAATTTTATCCATCCATCCGTCTGTCGTTCGTGCATACTGATAACAACGCTTGCAATGACATTAAATCATGAGATGATACCTTTCAGTTTTACATTAACGAAACGAGATTCAGTAAACTTTGCATCTTTAAGTAGCATCTTGCTGGGCTTTTGAAATTGTTTTGCAGACTCGCCAAAAAATTTGGTTCATTAAAGCCAAATTACACTTTATGAGATTATTGACTTATCAGCGTCGTTTTAGAATGATCACGTAGGTTCAGCAATTTTTGCGGGCAAATGCGTGTGCTTTGGTAATTGGAGGAAGAAAAATCCTTTGATTATTGATCTTGGAAATGTTGATTTGACGTGGTGACCTTTTCCTGTTTGTTATAACTGGTGATGTAAGTGCAGTCGTTGATGTCATTGATATTACCCGTCGGTTAATTGTGGGTGATAGCAGACTGGCATTTATCTCAGCTTTCTTACACTAATATCGTTACCTTACAGACGGTGTATCATATTAAAGACAAAGACAAATATCAACCATCTCCGTTGGTATTACATCCCTTGTGAGTTGCTTGTGTTAGATTTTCCATTAACCTACAAATAATGCGCGTCCGCTTTCAGACAGAGATCTTGTCCTTCCTACCTACCTATCTACCTACCATCTATCCACCAGTACTTTACTAGACATGGCATCCAAGGAAACTAAGATATAATTCCTTTGTCTAAGTCTTAGACATGAAATTTCACCTCAATATACTGAGATGTGCAGTCAATCAATCTAGACACGCCATTTCACAACCCTGGCATCAACTTCTGATGCTGCACATATAGCATTAAATTTTAAGATACTTTTCTTGAAGTTTGGAATTGGATATTTGATTATAAATATATAGTCCAATACCAAGCCTATACTATATAACACTAAACAACAAAGGAAATACCTACATGCTATCAGAATCTTCAATGAAAATAGGAACAAACGAAACGAACTCCTAAAACAAGTACAAGGAAAAAAGCTCTTGGTATTTCGGAAGAATTAGCCTCATCTACTTCATCGAGAACACCTGCAATGCAATGCTCGGTCATTCAGGTAAAATGTTGTCAACTAAGTTAACAACAAAGGAACTACTAGGCAAGAAGATCCCGTTCAGGATATCCAAGTATCCTTCAAACTATAAGCATCTGCTTTATAATATATTGTTTAGTGAAAGTAAACTCCATTAAAATGTTGCCTTTTTAAAGTATTTTGATATGAATAAGGCTTTTGTGGTGTAAAGTGAGAAGTATGTGTGTGAAGATCGTTATTTGAGCATGTATGTCCCTGCCACAAAATAAACATTATTAAGTTTAATATAATAGGGAATATCACTTATGAACGTTTTAGCAATATACAGTGTGCGATTGAAGAATCCCCCTTTTTACTACTAGCTTTGTTTTTTCTTGGTTTATAAAATGTTTTTGATTTCGAATAAAGAAAAGTATACAACCCTAGTAGTCCTTACCTTGACCTATTTTGGTAGCATGGCATTACATCAATATATCAGTTTGCTTGTTGGTGCCGTTGTTGTAAACCTTGTTCTCATTTGAGAACTTGACATGATTTTGAAAAACCAAGGTTTACATGGCGGGTGTCATCAATGCAATAGAAGACGTTTACTCTTCCGGAGCACCTGGTACTTTTTTAAGAGTCTTCGTGTAATTACTTCTTATTCTTATTCATATTTTGCCATAGTTTATTCAATTTGAGTTTGGGTTATGATAATGTGGACACGTTTGTATATCATGGAAAGTAACCACATGGGTCACAAATTTCTTGCACATTTTAATGTAAATCGCTCTTTCATTACGGTTTTGTAGAGTGAACGTAAATGTTTTCTGATCGCTTGATTCATTGTTGAGGCAGAATGCCGTTGATACGTTGTACTGGATAATTTGTGCATGACTGCTGCGAGAAGAAATATCACACACGGTTATTATATGTACTTATCATTTGATTAGACTCCCGTTGTGTGTAGCTCGCCTGTTATCTGATACATCATGGCAGTAATATGAGTTATCGGAAGCTTTTATCAAAATGTATACAAACCTTTATCTTGAGACAGGGAGTATAATCTGTCCATTCTCGGAAGTGCAGCTGTTCTCTCCACCAGGTGGCGTTTTCTGTACATTTCTTAGTCGCATAATCTATAATAAAGACCGAAGGCATCACTTTCAATGACATGGAAAAAAATAAAAATGCCACAAGATTAAAACCAATTTACATTTACATAAAGTTAAATCAGTGCTTAAATACTTTTTAGGAAGACAGATTTAGGCGCAACATGTTGTCATATTCGTACTTTAGCTAATTCTCAACTGTGTACAAGTGTATCAATTAAATAAAACATGTCATGTATCTTTGATTTGAACAGAAAAAACTTGCTCAAACCATATCAACAGACGTAGGATATGCTTCAAAAGCATTACTGTTCGATATGTATCAATACGTGTGATACAGCGCATATTGATTAAAACATTAATCAACCTTGCAATCCTATTCATTATGGTAAAAACAACCTATGTCCTGACGACGAAATGCCTAATCCAAATTGATCTAGTGGCTATCAACAGCAGAAAGCCTGGTACACATTAAATTGCAGATTTCAATACTAATGAAGTATCAGGTCACAACGAGGCGTAATATAACCTAAGGTGTGCAGTCCATCATCCCTTTCGACTAAACATCAAGTACATTTCAACTCGTAAAAGATACCAATTAAATGATAAAAATGATCCCATTTCTTGTCAATTTAAGTAATGGTATAAGAAAATATAAACACGTGAAAAGGTTCCACATGAAGTTAAGGAATATTCCAATCAAAAGTGAAATACAATGCAAACCGTCAAGGCTGCAATTAGAGTTAATGATTTACCAATAAACGGGAAAGTAAAAATAAAAAAAGAAAGAAAACACGATAAATTGAAATAAGATATTACTGAAGAATGTTGATGAACGTATTCGGTAAAATTTGATATCTAGTATTTAATAATATGGATTTATTGGCAAAAATATTGAGATATAAATGATGAATGTATTTTGTGACATGTGTATTCCAGTATAGATGTCATGTACTATATACTTTAAGATATATATGTGGAGAGAGTAAGTGGTCAGTGTCTTAAACATAAAATGTATTTGGCGAGAATGTAGAAAGACAAAAATGGCGAACCTTTGGCGAGCCACATTTGTCTTTCTGTCCCGGCCCAAAATGTAGATTATATCTTAAGACACTGACCACATACTCTCTTTATCCTGAAACACTTATTTAAAATTCAGTATATCGGCACTTAAACAGTTTGTTAGGTCTCTCCATTTTTGTTTACCTGAAGTTGACGTTACCTTGAACTGTGTCTGATGACGCACGTTAAAATAGTAATTCCGCGCGGAAATATAGTTTTACACTTCAATGGAAATAAAAAGGAAATTTCATAAATCGCTTTAAGAGTTATTCCTATTTTTAAATGAAATATCTAAGTAAATTAGAAAGTAAATATGTAGAATAAACGCACGTGCTAAATTACAACTGCTTTCCGTCACTGTTAATATAGCAAAAAAATATTGTGGCAGGTGTATTCTAGCAATGGCAGCGCTCTCTCTCTCTCTCTCTCTCTCTCTCTCTCTATATATATATATATATATATACATATAAACCAGCCAATACATTTCTTCATGTTGATCTTATATATTTTTTCTTTAACGATTTTCCTATTGTTCGACCAGGCCCTATATGATGTCTGTCACAATAGAAATCGTATACACTGATTAATGATAGCACAATTTGTCATGTGTCTTTGTATGGCACAGATAGGAAGTGTATGGTTGAACAGGCATTTCCAAGCTGCCGCTTATGGTCACACATATAAATATGCTTTCAAGGAATTTATTTAGATTCTGTCTGGTTGTGGTCATCTGAGTATTGTCCGTCTCGCTACACAAAGTCTGGTCATCTTTTTTTATTGACAATACACCAAAACATATATGTGACCGAGATAGTTTATCTACATAAACGTCATGGTGGTGTTTAAACCCCAACGAAATAACATGACAACATATCAAGCAATCTATTGCTGAAGAGATGGAAATTATAACACACTTCTGATAATATCAAGAAAGATTTTAGGATAACATCGATATCATAAGTATCAATCAGAAAGTCTCTTCTCATTTCCATTTTACATTGGGGAACACTAAAGAGTTGCCAAACAGTGGTTGTCATAGAGAACGCTTGTATTGAGATCAATTGGACGCTTGATTTATTGCCACCAAAGAAGTGATAGGATGTTTTGTGGATAGTTCCCAAGAGTATTGGGAAAATGCAAGTATGGATGGAACAAGATTGATGACAAGACGTGTAATTGTGTGGCGTATATAAAAATATCCATCGATACAATTAAAATCATTGTCATATTGTGAAAAAGCGTAAGAATTTACACATGTTAAGAAAAAACATCACAATTGAATTGATAAAAGCCTGCTAGTACCACGGAATGGCTGGAATTGTGTGTTTGGACCTTACCATAACACACATTAAAAAAATACCAACACGTCAACATAATCATAATTCAAACTCAAATTCCATAAATCTATGGCGAAATATGAACATGTACACGAAGATGCCTCAGAAAGTACAAGGAGAATAAGACCAGGTGTTCCGGAAGAGTAAGCTCTTCTGCTTCATCGACAATACCCGCCATGTAAACCATGGTAAGTCATGTCAAGTTCTCAAATATGAACAAGGTATACAACAACGGAACCAACAGGCAGATTAACGGGTGTCATACCAGAACTTAGATGTCATTGACACTTGCATCTACTTTTACAGGTTACTATTGCGTTGTACTCTCTCTCTTTTTCTGTATCAGATATCAGGTTAAACAGATCCATGTATCTTTTCAAGCTGCAAATTCACTCGGTCCTTGCTCTTTTCTGTATCAGAACTTGAGATCAATTGACTTTGAACTTTCTCTAAAAAGTTACACATTTAGTGTCAAATGTTCACCAATGTAATCCATCCTAGTATCTACACTAGGTAAGAGATTACGAAATCGACCCTTGCACTTACCCTTGAAGGCAAATACTATTCATCTTTGTTTTTAATCTAAAATAATTAATTGTTAGTCTATGTGATCTGATAGCTAATCAATGCTAGAAAGCGCCTTACGTAGAATATGTATAGTCGAGTCTGTTCTTATTTAAACGATATATCTCATTAAGTATATTGATAATCCCGTGAAAATCGAGGTCTCAGTCACGATTCTTCAAAAATGATTTTACTTACATGGATTGGGCAAGATTAACACGGCGGGTGATGTCGACGAAGAGGATGATGCATAATCGTCCTTTTTTTTAAAATTTGAGTTTGGAGTATGATTGTGTTAACATAATTGGTATTATCAAACTCAAGTTCAATTAAACTAGGGCAAAATCTGAACAAAAGGAAGATTTACACCAACAGGATTTCTGAGAAATGTATTAGGAGAATAAGACCAGGTGTTCCTGAAGAGTAATAGATTTATGCTTTATTCTACTTTTTATATAACATAATCCTTTCCTCTCAATCTTCTAACCTAGTGAGGTCGACTTCTAGCTTTTGTACTTGGTATGAACCGCCTTTAATGATTTCTTGCTTCGCCTCTGATGAACAGGTTTCTAAATCAGAAAAGAATTTCGTTACTGGTATAGGGTTTGGTGAAACAAGACTTCACTACAGTCTTATCAGTCATGAAGGATACATTCACATAGATTCAAATAATCTCTTCTCATTCTTTAAGAGAATATGACCGATACAGGTACACTGATGCTCACTCTGATACTACAAATTACTTGTAATTGCTTCTCAGATCCTGAACAGAACATACAATGTAGCCGAAAAACAGTTAATTCACGTTTTACGATCACAAAACCTATTACGTTTCTAATTTACATATATTCTGTTAAACATTTGGCGAAGGTCATTGCAGTAGACAAAGCCAAAATATACGTTGGCATGATACGGTTGTGTCTCGAGATTTCGATGCCCGGCGCCACAGAATCGATGCCATCAATTGGCTTGATTTAATGAACGGGATTTCGACAAGAGAAAACGTCCCGATGAACAAACCTAACAGCCTTGTTATTAAGTAATTGTACCCACAGTCCCTTGGTGATCCATGGCGTGTCTACACCATTTAGAAAAAACCTGGATACGTTTTGATATAGCATTGAAGTTCCGACAAAACCTTGTGAGAGTTGGTGTAAGCAAACATTCCTGACATGAAGTGTTGATTAATTTTATTATCTTGTATCAAGATCGACAAACGGAAATATCCAATTGCTTTTGTTAAAGTACTCCTAGCTGTATCTTGGGAGATATAAACAGTGTCTTATCACTATTTTACGAGAAACAGGGTCTGTTTTTGCATGGAACAATATGGTTATTAGTGGGTAGAGTGCTCGCTTTAGGTACTTTAAAAGTTATCAGTATGAAAATGATAATTAATTAGAATCGGAACGGTCATGACAAGTGAAATTGATCAAATATACACTACAGAGACACGGTAACTGGATTTAAGAATCAGACATTCATTAAATTGAAAGCTTAATTTGATATGCATCGTGTATGCATTGTTGATCATGGCACTTTTGAATTTCACAGACATGGTCAAATAGGGGCGAATTTTATCATGACAAACGCCAAATTATTGATGATAGTGTAATGAATTATGGCTTACTCTCATGTAAGCATTAAATGTTATTGATTATCAAAATGGAGGATGTAGCAAACGTCGGGGAAACTTGTTTTAGTGAAAATATCAGTACTCTTGTACATTGGCTATATAAAAACAAGATGTCACCTTTTTGCTGTAGCCGTTTCGTTATCTTAATTTTTGTCTATAATACGACGTTTACTTCAGCTTCAACTTCGTTGGCAATCTTTGTAACATTCACTTTGTCATAGTCTTAAATGATGAAATAATGAATACTCCATCCTGTTAAAATATAACCGAATTAGGCCACAACAAAATGAATGGTGTCTCAATTTGCAAGGATTAAATTTCCTACAGACATAAGTCCAATTTTAGGATTCCTCTACAGAAAAAAGAGAGAATGTTTCCAAATCTTAACCGAATGTAGGGAACATATGTAATTTGCCTGTGTTTTACAG